TGGAGTCCCTTTAGCTATGTATATCGTTGTATGGGGCCCTGGAGCTAGGTCTGGGTCTATCTGCTATGATTAGACCAAGTGGATCCAAGATTCACTTGGTCTAATCTCAGATTCTTATATACATCGCTCTACTGGGGTTCTAATGTTATATATATATATATATATATATATATATATATATATATATATATATATATATATATATATATATATATATATATATATATATATATATATATATATATATATATATATATATATATATATATATATATATATATATTCACGGGGTTCTACAGCTAGATCTCGCTGTATGGATGCCAAATGTTGCCATCCCTCTCTCTATAGAGGCAATAGAGCTAGATCTCACTCTTCTGGGACACTAGAGCCTCTATTGGATGGGTTCGGGATGCATGACAAGCAAAATATGATTATATGTAACTAGTTCAATAATATAAATTGCTTGGCTTCAAGACCATTTGGGGTCCAGCTCGTGAAGCTGCTACGTAGCTCACTGACCTTTCTGCCACTCACCCAGAGTATGATGTATGCGCTCCTTAGTAAATATATTAGAAAAAAATCATTATTTTTTATGATTACAATGCTAATAAAACTTTAGAACACGCATATACTTAGTGGACACTCTTAGTGGACGCGTCGTTATACATACACAGGCGAGAACCAACACTGAAGCCTTGCAACAACAACACTTGCATAACAACAACCATCTGACCACAAAAGTCATAGCTATGATGCAAGCACTCACAAGCCAAGGCCGTCGAATGCTTATCAACGGGGGGGTACAAGTCGTGCAGGAATGTTAAAGAATGACATTGTAGATGAAGCTAAAGAAGTGGCATCTAAGAGGGGAAAATGAAGACATTTGCATACACAGAGTCTAAGAGCAGATTAAGCTAACAATCAGAGCTAGAGCAATGCCGTGATCATGGCACAGCAGCTGCGACACTAGGATCTGCGCCGTGGTACAAGAACTCGTTTGTGACTCACTTATTCAGCTGAAAGGACGAGCAGAAGTGTGCGCCGCATCAGGTTTGGACACCCATATGCATGGGGAATAGGCTTCCAGGTTCCAGAACCAGACAACAAATGTCACTATCGTGGAGAAATGCAAGACACCACTACTGTAACTCATCAAACACATTAAGAAGTTACAAATCAGATTACCACTGAGATTTAACAAATACAGAATAATTTGTACAAAACATTGGATATATATTCTCATTCACCACTTAAGGAATACCGACATGCGTGTCACAGTAACGGACCAGCCAGAAACTTGGTACCCCTTGCAGGAATATCCCAGACCAAAAAATCCCACTTGTTAGTTTCATAACCTGTTTGTTAACTTTTGTTTTCCTCCTTATGTGGTTGTAGAGAAGCTTGGGTTGGGTCTTGGTTTTAACTGCTATGTCGTTTTAAAATAGTTTTTCCGGCTTCTCTTCTCACTCTGAGGTACTAATTCCTGGCCCCTCAGGTACCTCTGCTCTCCGATGTTCTGTTGTTCATCAGGTTGTGTGTGTGTGTGTGTGTGTGACTTGAATGTACTTGTACTTGCGTAATTGGAGTCAAGCCTCCCCAGCTTTACAAGCTAACGATTGTCTAGTTATTAGGTCATTGTATTAGACTAATAGAAGGACCTTCAACCTTACATGTCTCTTGTCGTATGCTCTTATCAAAATCTGTATTGAATTAGATTCTAAGATCTTTATTTCATTGCCCTTGCTGGGTACCTGGCCCTAGAGAAGGTCATGTCAATAACCACGGCTCCTATGACCCTCAAGTACCCCAGCATTCCTTAGCATTTCCCAAGCGTTCTTTAACATTCCCCTAGCGTACTCTAACATTCTCCAGAATTCCATAACATTTTCCAGCGTTCCCAGCAATCCCAAGCATCCACTAGCATTCCCCAGCGTTCTTCAGCACACCCTCAGCATTACTTAACATCCTGCAGCGTTCTTCAGTGATCTATTATAACTTTGTTACGAGGTGATGCAACAAGGAAACAAGTGGCCAACTTCACTACACTGAATCACCAACACACGAGAGAGCTGACCGAGAACAACAAGCCTTCTCACACCACTACGTCAAAAACTGCAATTGTTTAGTCTGGCCACAAACGTACGTACCCCCCCAAGCAACCCACCTAACAGAAGGTGGGTTGCATCTAAAATATGCATCTAAAACGTTAATATTAAAGTGCTTTAGTTTATATTAACACGTTGCAGTTTTAACGGATTGGTCGACTCCAAATTCAAATTCAAAATTCAAAATTCAAATTCAAATTCCGTAGCAAATGCGACGTATTAGGTGAAAGAACAGGCTCCCCCCCTGACTGTCGCCAGCGTTGCTAAGCCAGTGCATCCGGCAAGCAACAGATGAATATTTTTATACATTGTAAACAAACACTTTTTTTCAAGTATAAATTTAATTTTATTATTTGGTTAGGGTGATTTAGAGGATTGTTCACACACTACATGCTGGACAACGTATCCTCAGGCTAGGCTCGTTAAAGCGACGAACGACCCCAAAAGACGCATTCGTCATTTTTAACGCCCCTGCGTATGCCAAATTGGCATTTCCCCAAATATAAGATAACATTATTACATACTACAATGTGTCGAATTGTCCGACCTATCGTAGGCTGGGTTAGGTTAGACCACGTCAGGTCTAACAAACCTAACAAAGTTTAGGTTAGGTAAGACCTGACTCCCATACCTTATCATACGCTGTGTAAACATGACTTTAAAAAGATGTATATTTTTTTAAACGCCAAATCATAACCTCTTTATGGTATTAAGACGTCATCCGCGTCAGTCATCCACGTCAATCAACCACCACGCCAATCAACCACCACGTCAATCAACCACCACGTCAATCAACCACCACGCCACAACAACAAGACGTCTGGGTAATACACAACACAGAATAACAAGCAATTAAGCCACACTAACGACCATTCAGGTAACAGTGGCCCAAAGGCCTAAGTAAACATTATAACCTGTAAACCCCATAGATTAGTGCAGACTTAATTGTATTTATTTTCTTTCCAATATTTCTTTTGCACTCGGGAACACACTCACACGGTGCCAAACATGCACTCAGTCACACATCCCCAAACTAAACTTATCAAAACCTGCACGCTCTAATGCACTCAAATTCCCCATTCCTCCACCCCCCCCAACCCGGCCTTGAGTTGGGGGGGAGAGGTGATGAGTGCTTGTTGTTGAGATTATGTGATGAATGACAGATCACCTCTGCATGCCGACATCAACGCGGTGCGGGAGTGCGGTCGCGCGGGTGTTTGCGCGAGCGCATGTGGTAGATGAACCCTTATTCCTTGGGCTGGCGTCTCCAGCCCAGGCGGAGCTCAGGCGCGCGTCACAAGCCGTCACATAATGACTCGCCTGTGTTAGGAAGGTGTTTGTTAGTGGTAGGTCAGCCGGCTCGGGTGATGGCTACAGCTCCGTGGGACCGCATGTGTACTGCCCTATTTGTGCTTGCGGGGGTTGAGCTCTGGCTCTTTGGTCCCGCCTCTCAACCGTCAATCGACAGGTGTACAGGTTCCAAAGCCTATTCTGCTGATGTTATTCTATTTACGTGAGCTCCTGGTACTGGGCTTGAGGCTTATATCATCTCCCATGTCCTTCTCTTTTGCTGCTTCGCGGAGTCGTTTTCCTTTGTGCGTGTGCGTGAGGGTAGGGGGAGGAGCACACGCACGTGTGTGTTCCAGGGAAGGTGCGTGAGTGCTCCAGGAGCAGTGCACGCCCGTGAGTACCCCCAGGAAAAGCGTACAGGCGGGAGTGTGCCAGGGGTAGCACACGCCTGTTGATGCTCTAGGGGCAACACACGCACGTGAGTGGTCACTCAGTAGCAGCGCACATGCGGGAGAGCTCTAGTGGCGGCCCCGTTTAATGTTATTAGTTCGAGCAGCGGGGCGCCCTCGTGTTTATCGTGAGGTTATCTCCTCCTGTTGACTGGTGGACCGAGCATTGTTTGGGCCACCAGTCTGGAGAGATAACACAATGACTACTGTCTACCTTCATCTTCCCTCACCCCCCCCCCTCTGTATCTCTCTGTATCTCTCTCTACCTCGTCATCGTCTTTCTCTCTATCCTCCTCCCTCTCCTTTACTCCTCTCTCTCTCTCTCTCTCTCTCTCTCTCTCTCTCTCTCTCTCTCTCTCTCTCTCTCTCTTGGTAGTCATCACCTTGAGTTTATGAGAATTAAATATAAGAGTTCCTATATGTATCTTAAGAGTTCTTATATATACTTGATATCATATGTGTAAGGGTATACAGTGAAGCTGGTCCCGTCTGGGAATCACAATTATAATTTGGTTAATCGACTTTATTTCAAGAAGATCCATTTATCATGAGATAATCCAAATGTGGGTCAGATAAATAATGAATGAACGCTAATGGGGTAGTGGCTGAACGTCTTGTGTTAGAAGGCATGCCTTCTTCTTCTTCTTCTTGTCCAGGAAGTTGAACCAGGTGGGGAATGCTAAGATCGTTGGTCTCGCACATCACCCTTAACGTATCGACTCGCACTGATGCTATGGATAGTGCCGTAATGTTGACTCTAATCAGCACGAGATTAAACTTGAAATAAGTCAGCCTGTGTGCTGTTCTCTGCGTTGTCCAGGAGCCTGCGAGAGCAATTGAGTTCAGAACTTGTAAAGGAGTGGTGGATTCTTTAGGCTGTGTGCAGACTGCATTGCACTACAGAGTTTAGCAACCTCTGCTGTCGAGTCGTAATGAGACGCTCCTTAAGGCTATCAGAGTCTTAGCTGCCATGCTAGCGATGTTAGCACCTCAGTATTGATGCTCAGTGCAGAATAAAATTTAATTTCCAGGATATTTAGTTCACCGTTACATGTTAAATTTCGTCCCTCTCTCCCTGACTTTGGGTGACTCCCCCTGGTTGTGTTGACAATTTTCCCAGTTCCATTTTTTTTGCTGACACTTGTCTTTCCAGCAGAAGTGCCCGCACGGGTCACACTGGCCATGCTGACGTCACTGGGGGTCGTGTCACTGTACTTGCTCAGGATCAATATGTCCGTGGCCATAGTAGCCATGGTGTACACGCCCCCCACCAACGGAGCCACCACGCCCCCCACCAACGCCTCCACCACGCCCCCCACCAACGCCAGGAACACTTACGCCCTCAACGCCGCATTCTGCACGACATATAACCAGGTACTATTTAACTGTATTCGATTTCTAGGTGACCAGTCAGGTTGTAGCATGCAGCGGACCGTAGGCCGATTGTACAGTATGTTAAAACTAATCTTTCTTCTTTATAACCCTGTAGTGTGTACTATATCTGTTCCTCCTCCTTGTGTGAGGTAACGGAAGGTGATAAACGGGTAGAACAGGGAACCAATGAGAGAAGAATTAGTCAAAAAAGACATAAATTTAAAGAATAAAGTTATGGCCAAGATGGATTGATGAAAATAAAGGAATTTTCGGCCCCTTTTGCCTACGAAAATAGACAATAATTTAGTTTACCTCCAGATAGATACTTAGCACTGAACCAGGGAGAGTATTGAGTTAACCTTCGGTAAACAGGTGAACCAAACGGCGGTGGACCGGAAGGGGGACACGGAGGAGGCGCCGACGGCGGGCGGGGACGTCTTCACCTCTGACGACAACCTCGCGGAGGAGGAGAAAGAAGTAGACCTGCTCGCTGATAAGGTAAGGTCCACCTCACTCGCTCATAAGACACAGCAACCAACCAGCCACACACAACACACACACACACACACACACACACACACACACACACACACACACACACACACACACACACACACACACACACACACACACACACACACACACACACACATCAACACTTGTTTTGACACATCAACCAGCAGCAGCAATACTTCGCGAACTTGAGGGATGGTAAACTCCTGACCTTCCCTCACCCTCTCACCTGTACCTCCCCTGACCCGTACAGAGGGTCAACATGTAGACTGAAACTTGTGGATGGTGTGGGGTCTTCCTGTCGAGTCCGGGGTCGCTTGATAATGCGGCCCGAAGCAGTCAGTAAACTCCATCTAGGGCTGAATATGACCACCAGACCGACAGCTGACGAATACTGCGAGGGGAAAGTTGAAAAGAACTTTGGAGAGAAAGTTCTTAGAGAACGTTGGAGAGAAAGTTCAGGAGAACGTTGGAAAGAAAGTTCAAGAGACTTCAAGAGCCACCTCCATCCATCAAGGCCCGATTCGATGAGGAATTCGAACGTCAGAGTCGTTAAATTATAATACAATAGATAGAAGGAGCCTTATAGGCGGGGGCATAAGGAGGTAGACCCCATTACCCCTTCGATACTAATATAGGTTGATATAGGTAAGATATAGGTACTATATAGTTGATATAGGTAAGATACTAATAGGTAAATACTGATAGGTAATTACCTCCCTAATCTCACTCACCACAAACTGAATTAAATTGACTTATTTTTAATACATCAATTTAATTACTCCTGACCTACTAATATGATTATTGACACTTGAGAACAGATTGCATGACAGTCGAATGATGCGATTTGATAATAATTTCGACAGTGAATTGCAAGGAGCGTATTGCATGAGAATTATGTTAGGGTGAGTCGAATGGAGTGTTTCACCGGGGCCCCGGGATTCAACAAGCATTTACGTAACTACTTACGAAACCTGTACATCTTTTCTCACTCTTTTTAGCGGTTTTGTTTACATTTATTAATAAACAGTTTACGAGCGTCGAATCTTCAAAAGCTAATGTTTTTGTTGCAATCATCCTCCTGTTTAGGTAGTACTTGTTGCAACTCTGTGCACCAGCATACATATATTGACGTAGTTAGTAAAATTTGGTACTATTCATTTTTCAGAATTAGAAAAAAGTATCAACCAAACTTAAATATTCGTAGGCCTAGTATAGTGCATATTTGTACTATATTAGGCCTCATACAAAATCATTTTCGGTTTGACCAAATTCAATAGTACCAAAATCTACTTTCTAATTGTGCATTACGTTAATGTGTACGAAGGTGCACATCGTTACTGTGAGTACTGTTTACACAGGTGGATGGGCCGAGTTATTGTGATAAACACCTTCCTGGTGCTGCGGGACTCATAAACTGTTTAATATATTTAGCTGAGTTACCTGAATTTACCTGAGGGCCACTAGTACTAGTGGCCTCGACGAGGACAACAAGCCGGCGGGTTCTTGTCCTCAAATGGACCCCCCATTTGCCCTGATGATTTTTTTCCCAGCTGTATTTTAAAACCCAGCAGAATTTTTGGCGTTTACGGCTTCGGCGGGTAGGCAGTTCCACGGGTTTACAACCCCCTGTGGGTGAAAAAGATCTGTTATCTGTCCAACATTCTGGCTTGTTGAGCTTGAACCCGTCGCTCCTCGTTCGTGTCACACCTGACCTTTTGAAGAAACTGTCCGGGTCAACATCCTCCAAATTATGTAAACAATGCCGCCAGAGTTGGAGAAAAGATGTAGACGTTCGTCACTAGATGCGATGTTGAATCCCAGCCCCTGTTGCGAACGGCGCGTGGCTTGTCACGCCAATCATGCCGCCGTCGGCTGCGTGTCGGGAGCATTTGCTTAGCGTTATTCTTCTTTCCTCAGATGGTGCTGACGGCCACGCAGAGAGGGCTCGTCCTTGGTGCGTTCTTCTATGGCTATTTCGTCACCAATGTAAGTCTTGTGTGTGTGTGTTTGAGAGAGAGAGAGATAGTTTGTTCAAATGTTTGCTAATTACCCATATGCTACCCCACATTATCCTGTTTGCGTGCCATCCCGCCCCTGCGCCCCTAATCATCGTCTCTCCTTGATTCTACGTCCCACCCACGCCCACTCGACAACCTCCGCCCGCTGACAACGTCTCCCCTGCCCACAGATCCCCGGCGGGCGGCTGGCGGAGGTGTACGGGACCAAGCGGGTATTCGGGGGCGCCATCCTGGTGGGCGGGGTGTTGACACTCTTCACGCCCCTGGCCGCCCGCGCTCACTACGGCGCCCTCATCCTTCTCAGGGTCCTCATCGGCCTCGCCCACGTAAGTTTACACCACACTGAAATCTTACAGCTACCGGCGGTTTACCTGTGCTATACAAATGATTTACCTGTGGAATACCAATAGTATACCCGTGGCATATCAGTAGTTTATTTGTGGTTCACATCTTGCATAACAGTGGTTTACCGACGGTTTATGTATGGTGTACCTACGGTTTACCTGTTTTGTGGCAGGTGTACATATTAGGATGCGCAAATACAGTGATTAAAAATAATGTATGAAGACTGTAAGTGTCTTAATCCCCGACCCCAAGTGGTTGGGCATCATTCCCATCCTCAGGTCTATCCTAAATCCCCTATCCTCATATCCCTTTCCAACTGCAATATAGTCGTAATGGGTTAGTGCTTTCTCATGATAATCATCTTAAATGTCTTATTAATGTCTATACAAACAGTGAGCTTCAAGTGTCCTAGTTTGGAAAGTCGAACTTATTTATGATGCTAGTGCAGCTGTTGCAGTGCAGGATGACGGGATGCTGCTAGCTAACAAAAGACTTCAAACGTCAGACGGGTTATCTTGAGGTTATCTTGAGATGATTTCGGGGCTTTTTAGTGTCCCCGTGGCCCGGTCCTCGACCAGGCCTCCACCCCCAGGAAGCAGCCCGTGACAGCTGACTAACACCCAGGTACCTATTTTACTGCTAGGTAACAGGGGCATAGGGTGAAAGAAACTCTATAAGGGTTAAGGGTTAAGGTATAATGCAACCAGTGCAAGAAGGCTAGTAGGCGGGGGCATAACGGAGATATATACCTCACCGCTCCCTAGTCACTGATAGGTGAGCGTTGATAGCTAAGTACAGGTGTCAGTCATCTCATCTTTACTGCGCTGTTTTGTGTATTTGATTGAATTCTTGTGATTTAGTGGTATTGTGGTTGAACACTACTGAACAAAGCAGGGTTTTGACACTGAACAAGCAGACGCTGAACAAGCAGACGCTGAACAAGCAGACGCTGAACAAGCAGGCGCTGAACAATGCAGGGTATCGACAGTCTCTTGCTAGTGATGCTAAATTATTAGTGTAGATCCTTTGGAGGAACCTCAGTTTTCCGAAATACATGAAAAGATTCTCTGAGATCAGAAAAGGATCAATTCGGTGCACAGATCCAGTGGGATGGTATCCGGACCTCTCAGTCTCCCGTATAGTCACTCGGCCTCCTCCCCCCCCCCCCGACACACACGGGTAGAGTACCAGCACAGGTGGACACGCCGGAATCTTGTTGCTACACTAACTAGCCATTCCCGGGCGGCCAGCTGGTGCCAGAAGCAGGTTAGTGCAGTTATCGACGGTAACAGTAACTATCGTCTGGGGGCGACTCTTCATCACACCACAACAATTGGTTCAGAGGATTTCTGCTCTAATTTTCAAGGGCTGCGAACATTTTGGTGAACATTGTGGCTGTTTCGGTAGTTTGGCCAATAGCTTGACGGTGTTCATTCTCTCCTGACGTAGAGCTGCAAATACTATTCTTTTCTGTCAAAATCAAATCCTTTACTTGACCTAAGAAGAGTACAGTATATAAGTAAAGACGGCGGAGGGAAGGGGACACTAAAGCGTGACGCAATAATGCAAATAAAGTGAGTCTCGTAGTATCTGAGACACGTAGAGTATAGGTGCATATAATTGTAGCACTAATGGAACTTGCAGTCTTATCAATAGAAACAATTTAAACTAAGGCAATAACTGAGTAAATAACAGCTTATGACGAGATGAAATACTCATAGGTCCGTCTGTTGAGAGAGAGAGAGAGAGAGAGAGAGAGAGAGAGAGAGAGAGAGAGAGAGAGAGAGAGAGAGAGAGAGAGAGAGAGAGAGAGAGAGAGAGACAGACGAGACAGAGAGACAGACAAGTAGACCCAACGAGCAGGGCTCTACATGACAAATTACCATCCGTGCGGGTCATGCACTTGACATACAAAGCCCGGCCGTCATGACATGCTTGAGTGCGCCAGGCGGGCCCAGAGCGGAGGCTGGACCACTCGACGGAGCGTCCTTGGAGACGCCTCCTGCATGTAGGCGTCCCGACACTCTTCAACGCCTCAATAAACCCACTTGGTTGTGGTGAAAAGGAATCTTAAGGTTTACTTTTTGCAACTGAGAAAATTCGCATGTTTATGAGCTATCAACAGCCTATAGAATTAAAGTGATTTTGTTACAGGTAGATCAGGGAAAAGGGTACATAGTGTAGTGTTACAGGTAGAGCTGGAGGAAGGGGTAGATAGGAGAAAGCGACACAATTAACTTTATAAATGTGGGAGAAGAGGAATCATAGATGACAGAGGTGTGAAGGGGAGGCGCCGGGGTTGACTGGTGTAGCATCATGTTGAACAGCCCGCCTCTGTTGGACCTGTACACACACAGCTATTGCTTCAGCTGGATCTGGTAACAACAGGTACCGATGAGCAAGAACCTAATGCAGTTAACTACACCGCCAAAACATTCCCACATACGTGAACGAGGCTACACTCCGTCACACACGCTGAAGCCAGCCACACTTAGGTGCAAGAGTCACTGGGTGTGTAAGGTGTGTTATCAACACACAGGAGCACCTACGGTGTTAATCTTCCAGACCTGGAGCCTTTTTCTGATAACTACTTAATTACTTACGTAGCTGTGGTCCTGAAGATATACTTGTGGGAAGGATGCTATGGGCACTGACTGCCTTGCATGGGCCAGTAGGCATAAGCAAACTTCTGTTCTTCTCATGTTCTTAGCTCTGTGTTCTTATGTTCATCGTCACTTGCTAGTAAGTTTACCTTAAACTTCACTACCATAACCGCGCGGGTACCACTATCATAACCATGCGGGTACCACTACCATAACCATGCGGGTATCCCCCAGGGTGTGGTATATCCGGCCATGAACGTGATGGTGGCCAGGTGGGTTCCTCCCCTCGAGAGACCTCGCTTCATGTCTTTCACCTACATGTGTGAGTATACCTTATACTCTACGTTCATGTGTCTATATGTGAGTATACCTTAAACTGTACGTTCCTGTGTCTACTTGTGCGTGAATATATCCGAGCTTGTATATCTTGCTCTTCTCTCTGTCCTCTTGCGATAGTTTCCATTTCAACTATGCTAGTTCAAAGGGAATTCAAAGACCAACACACATATCTTTGTCTATCCTCACAGCCTCGGCATCATCCTGGCTGGTATGCTCACTTCTCTTACTTGAGATTTCTTCTCTAACATATGTGGAAGTTTGCCTCGGTCGCGTCTACATGCATTACTCTCCATGTTTCATGTTCACTGCATGGGTTTCATGTCTTGTAGATACTCCCATTTCCCTCCCTGCTCCTTCTCTATCATGTCACTTCTTTAGATCTTCAGTCAGCTCCTTTTCCTTCTGTCTCCCTTCTTTCATTCACCATTCCAAAATATCTCTTCCAGACAGTATCCAGTTTCATCTTCTTTTCGCTTCAGGAACCAATCTCTTGTATTCTAATTTCTTTCCTATGCTTCCATCAGTTTCCTCAGGCCCTCTTCCTGCTTGTCTAGTGTAAGCTGTGTGCTCCTACTGTGTAAGTATACATCAGCGTGTGCTTCTATGTGTTCTTTTTTACCCTAGTATTTTAAAATTTGTCTTGTTCATATACTTTGCCCCAGTCAGCCACATTGCACTATGTTCAGTAATAGTGTACTCGGATCAGACATAATGCACCTAGTTCAGATATTCTGCAACGTAATGTCATAATGTTTAATGGTCAGCCACAGTGTACCCTGATCTCCCACACAAGTCCACAATTTGCCTAGTCAGCCACAGTGTATTCTAACCCATGTATCACCCTGGCAGCCAACACCCTAGGAACCATCATCACCCTGCCACTGTGTGCCGTGATCATCGCGTGGGCGGGGTGGGCGGCCGTGTTTTACGTGACTGGCGCCATCTCCCTGGTGTGGGTGGCTCTGTGGGCGGTCCTCATGCACGACTCCCCACAGGAGCATCCCTCCATCTCCAGCCGCGAGAGGGACTACATCCTTCAGGCCATCAAGAAGGGCACCACGCAACACAAGGTGAGGGAGAGGAAGGAAGGAACGGATAGGGAGGGAGGGAGGGAGGGAGTTAAGAAGGGAAGGGAAACAGGGACATTGTATGACACTTTGTCAGCTGCCTCAACTCTACTTGCCGGACCTACGGAACGTCAGGAAGTCTCGTAAATCACGAGAAGTACTCCACTAGACCACTCACAGGACAAACGACATCAAGCAGCGACAGAAGTACTCGGCACAGCGTATCAAATATGAATCTGTCGGTACCCACAGAATCAGTTTTTATGGCTTTTAGTTACCTTGCGTTTGCTCCTTGACTCTGGGATTCTACAGCAGCCTGGCGGTGAGCGCACACGCCGCCTGCTGGAGCACTAGTACTGAAGGAAGATGATATTGGAGTCAAGCAGCTCCGGGATATACCCAAATTAGTATGTATTTCTCTCGGTCTTGTATGGTTACTACAAATTAGTTAGAGAGGTAAGAATATAAAACCGATATTCTTTGCTTTATTTATGACTTGATAACAACATACCGAAACTCTAATTAAAATTTATATTCCCATAGCGTTTTGCTTGCATTAAATGACATATTTGCAACATGTTTTAGTAAGGCAGCGAACTGTTGTGGGTTGCATCCTGCAGTGACCTGACCAGCATAGTGGTCAGGTCAGTAGTTGACCTAGAGGCTACCTCCATAAGCCTATATACAGGCTTCCTGTCCCCGACAACCTGAATTATATTATTGTTTATCGAAATCACGAAAATGTTGATACAATCTCAAGTAAACTATTTAGTAAATAACAAACACCGTAAATAACGTTAATATTGTAATATGAGACGCCTAGCCACTATCCATATCCCAGCCCGTCCTCAGGCTCGGCCGTCCTCAGGCTCGGCCGTCCTCAGGCTCGGCCGTCCTCAGGCTCGGCCGTCCTCAGGCTCGGCCGTCCCTAGTGATAGAACTGCTACTCTAGTTAAATATACCGATATTAAACTACTTATTTGTTATGCTTTTGAAGCTTTTCAAGGTTCCATTAATATTCTGTTGTAAACTGGTAAGTGAACCTTCGTCCCAAACAGAAATTATTATGTACAGACGCTGTATACATCATCTCTCAAGACTTAAAAAAATACACAGTATGTTAGTAATTATGAAAGGTCACTGATAGCGTGAATTTCTGGCCAGCAGTACACTTGATCATCACTAACAAGGAACTGGGAGTGATACTGCTTGGCTAAGTTCTCAAAAATATAACATTTTACATTTTTCAATTTAATAGGTCACATCTCCACTGAATGCTGATTGAAACGATGATTATATATTATGGGAAGAACTAAGATGTATTCCACTTTTTCCGAGAATGTCTAAATGCCCACGTAGCTTCCACCAGTCGCTAGGTACTCACAACACCTACAGTCTTGACTCAGCTTATGTGAGTCAAGGTGCGGCCTTGACTCAACAGACGGTTTGAATGGAGTAAAGCAGGACGCTGCCTTTTTCATCCGGTGATGGTGAATGGCGCTGCATTCATGATGTTATGACATAAAAGGCTGCTGCTGAGGGTGATGTCTTCAGCCCAACACTGCCGCGTTTGGTTGTCACTATAACCGCTAAACTTGTTCTGTTTTAATATTAAGATCCACATATACACAAATCATCCCAAATCCTGAATAAAAGGCCTTTACAAACCGCAAATTTGTCTCGCTTTTAAGACGAGGATAAACTTTATCAACTATACTCACCCCACATGTCAAGAAAATGTCAACACAAGCTTCCTGATCTTCCTCAGCCGAGAAATATCCCCTGGAGGAGTATCCTGACCAGCGGGCCTCTCTGGGCTACCCACATCGCCCACATCGGCAGCATGTTCGGCTTCAACCTCCTGCTCACCCAACTCCCGACCTACATGGACAGTGTACTGGGCTTCTCCATCAAGACGGTGAGGGGGCGCTGTGAGCTCGGTCCCATCTACAAGTTCCCTCTCCCTATATTCCAATCTGCTGATCTGGATTAGTATCTATTCCTGGCTATCTTTCATACTGCTTACCCAGACACTTGGACTGGTTGGTACAGTGGGCGGCCTCGCTTCTTGCTGGTTGGCGCTCGAGCCTCCATGGTAGAAGTAGTTGGGCATGGTTCCCTTCCTCTGTTTTCATGTTTCTGATCCTTGACTTCATATTCCCTTCAAGTGCTGTTAGAGTCATATTGGCTTAATATATATTTATCCAGAGATGTATCACGCTTCTCGACGCATACACATTACGAGTTTACTTCAGAACTATGTTAAGGACTAAAGTTTACCTACAATTTGGTCAGTAAGATATCCATAGCTTGCGTCAACAACCAGGAGCCCCGATCCCTTCTCGTACCTTCATTCTTTTATTCCCCCTCGTCAGAACGGCCTGCTGTCAGCCCTGCCGTTCCTGACGCAGTTCTTGGGAAGCCTGGCCTCGGGGGTCGTCGGGGACTGGTTCCTCACCCGGCGCCTCATCACTCTCAACGCCTCCAGGAAGCTCTTCGCCACCACATGTCTGTTTCATCATCAATTTGCAGTCTTTCTTGTCTAAATTTACGTTTCTGACCTATTGTTTATATTATATTATATTATATTATAATATATATATATATATTATAATATATATATATATATATATATATATATATATATATATATATATATATATATATATATATATATATATATATATATATATATATATATATATATATATATATTCTGTTTTCATTATCTAGTTAGGTAATATATTTTATGTATATAATGTTACAAACAATATATTGAAGTTGTGAAGTTTTGGTGAATTGTTGCTAAAATGATTATCACTTTAGCAACATTACTCCCATAGTTAGCGCCACAGTTCCTTGGCTGTGGCAGCACTCCACAACCTCACTTGCTACAATATTGTGTTCACCTACACGCAGTCTCTCGCCAGCATTAACTTATGAGGACAATCCAATTCTAAAACACCAATTAACAAGCGGCCCTTCCACAGCTCTGGTAGTTCCGGGAGTGGTGCTGGTGGCAGTGGGGTACGTGGGCTGCAGAACCACCCTGGCAGTGGCACTCTTTCCCATTGGCACTGCCTTCAGCGGGGCCATCTGCTCCGGCCACCTGGCTAATCACCTCGACCTTGCTCCCAATCTTGCAGGTGCAAACCTTACAGAGTTAAGATCTCTAGTGAAACGCTAATGTGATATGCGCTTATGTATATACCCTTCAGCCTTAACATAACAGCATCGTGGTTATCTGTGTTCACGTGTAAACAAAACCTCCATGAACAATTTTCGTAAGTTTTGCTTTATATTTTGCTTGACATTTTGCATGTGGCGATGCTCTTAACTTTGTCTCTGTCTCCAGGAACGGCTCTGGGGGTCAGCAACACGCTGGCCTACATGGTGTCCATGTGCGTGCCCGTCGTCGTCGGCGTCATGACCCCTAATAACGTGAGTAACTAGGACCCCAGGGCAGGTTAATTACAGGACCCCAGGGCAGGTTAATTACATGACCCAAGGGCAGGTTAATTACATGACCCAAGGCCAGGTTAATTAGAGGACCCAAGGGCAGGTTAATTACATGACCCAAGGGCAGGTTAATTACAGGACCCCCAGGGCAGGTTAATTACAGGACCCCCAGGGCAGGTTAATTACATGACCCAAGGGCAGGTTAATTACAGGACCCCAGGGCAGGTTAATTACAGGACCCCAGGGCAGGTTAATTACAGGACCCCAGGGCAGGTTAATTACATGACCCAAGGGCAGGTTAATTACAGGAGCCAAGGGCAGGTTAATTACATGACCCAAGGGCAGGTTAATTACAGGAGCCAAGGGCAGGTTAATTACATGACCCAAGGGCAGGTTAATTACATGACCCAAGGGCAGGTTAATTACAGGACCCCCAGGGCAGGTTAATTACAGGACCCCCAGGGCAGGTTAATTACATGACCCAAGGGCAGGTTAATTACAGGAGCCAAGGGTAGGTTCATACCAGCACCCCAGAGTAGGTTAATACCCCAGAGTAGGTTAATACCCCAGGGTAGGTTCATTCTAGTACCCCAGGGCAGGTTAATACCAGGACGGTACACCTGGTGAGCAAGTTAACTCCACACCAGGTTATATCAGATAATGTTCACACCAGTCCATATCTCGTAATAGCCTCACACCAAGACTTTTAACTTGACAGCACAGGTATAATACCATGCGGGGTAGCAGTTAGCATACCTGCCTTGCAAGCGAAAAGCCCTTGGTTCGATTCTTGAGCAGGGGGGTGGGGGGGGCGAATGGATTTCATTAATTCATTATTTCCTAATTAGCCCTCAACAGTAATTGGATATTTGGATGTAAATCAATTAGCGGATCGTGTTCTAGGGTGAAAATATTACGCTGAATAACTGGCCCGAAGAAGATGAGTAAATTGAGTATGATTTATGAATACTATGTCTTCAAGTCTTAAACATCCTCCATCTTTTGAACAAATTCACAAGGGCCGTGACGAGGATTCGAACCTACGTCCGAGATCATCCCAGACGCTTTCATCCTTCATCTTTTGTTTATACTCAGTCTTATCTACCTCCGTCAGAACCTGGAGGAGTGGCAGTCGGTGTTTTGGCTGACAGCCATCATGTACGTCTCCACCTGGCTGGTGTTCGTTGTCTTCGGCTCCACGGACATCCAACCCTGGAACTACCAGGAGGCCGAGAGGCCAAAACCGTCAGGGGAGGAGACCAGCTTCCTGGCGACAGAACAGGAGGCCGGCAGAACACGTGGGGAGGAGACTAGCTTCCTGAAGATCGAACAGGAGGCCGAGAAACGGACACCATCGGGGCAGGAGATCAATTCCTTTACGCCAGGACAGAGATCCAACTCAGTAACCAGTGACAGTCAAGTCGAGGCGTGATACGGTTCGTGGTTCTTCTAACTCGTATCATGCCTCGAGTACCTCACTTAGTACCTTAGTACCCCAAGTTGCGCACACTCCATCTAGCGACGAGGGCAAGAACGAGGTCCTGGTCGAGGCCCTGGTTAAGGCCCTGGTCGACGGGTCGCGCCATCTCGAACCGAGGCTTCAACGACACAGACGTTCTCCCAAACTGGCGAGTTTACTGACAACGACGAAGAGTTATCAAGTGTTGCGTAACAGATGTGGTCACAGGTGTGGTCACGGGTGTAAGTACAGGTGTAGGTATAGACACAGATATAAATCCAGATGAAGACACAGGTATTGTCACAGGAGTAAGTACAGGTGTAAACACAGGTGAGATCATGGAGCAGGAAACTCATCTGAATCGAGTAACACGCAAGAAAATATTTAAGTGGGCTTAAGACTTGGAATTTTACGCGTGTAAAGAATACAGTCGTTGACACAAAGTATTAAAAAATAAACGTATACATCACAGTCCGGTCTCATTAACCAAGTAATCTAACATAAACAAATACACAAGGGCCGTGACGAAGATTCGAACCTACGTCCGAGAGCAACAACCGAGTTACTCTCGGACATAGGTTCGAATCCTCATCACGGCCCTTGTAGATTTGTTCATTTGATGCATCACGCTATTGTGATTTCTGTGTGTAATCTAACATAATCTATTTCCTTAAAGTCCTTCGCATCTATAAGAAGCAGGAGTGAGCTGAGGCCTTTCTTGAGGTCAGCCCAAGACTGCGTAAGAAAGGCCTGGGAACATTATCAGGAAATTCAGAAATATACTCTGGGTTCAGAATGAAAAAAAAAAAAAGTCCAAGAGAAATATTCCAAAGGCGCAAATCGGAGATTCGCCAAATCGAGGTGCCAATGTACCTATTTAATGCTCGGTAAACAGAGGAATTAGGTGAAAGGAAACGTGCCCAGCCATTACTGGGAATCGAAAGCCTGGAAATCGAACCCGGGATCCCCAGTTGCGAGTCGAGAACGCAGCGGGGGTTGAGCTTTGGCTCTTTGGTCCCGCCTCTCAAGTATACCTCAAGTTTGTACACCGCTGTGGATGTGACTCGCGTAAATCATTTTCGTAAACAAATAGTTTTGTTTACAAATATGTTTACAAACTATGCTGTTGTAAACAACACAGCAGTAAACAAAGACAAGCAGCACGACTACTCTCACAGCCTGAAGTCATCAGGTGACTAAAGCTTTAAACAATGCCAAGTGTTTTGAGACAACTCCATCAATAATACTTAAGAAAGTTCTAAACAGTAGTGTTCGAAAATCTGACTGACTCATGAGCGTTTGTTTGGAGCCGAATTCTAGCTCACAGCACATATTTGCAGTTTGAAATTACGACTTTTTATACCGAAAATATGCCAATTACTGAAAACAGCGATGGGTCACATTTTGCCCAAACCCCCCTGCAGTTTTCAAAATATCGCAAATGTCGCAAATCTGACTCACGAGCATTATTTTCGAGCCAAATTCTGGCTCACAGCACATATTTGCAGTATGAAATTACGACTTTTTATACGAAGATATACCAATGGCATATTCCCTATGGCACCTTTCTTTGTGCATCGTTTCCTATGGTACCCTTCTCTACATGGTAGCTACGTATAGCTACCAGCACTCCTATAGCTACCAGCACTCCTATAGCTATAGGACTGCTGGTATGGTCGCCACAATGGCTGTTGTCTTCGTCTCCAAGCTATAAATATGGAGTCTCTAGCTATCAATTGCGTAATAAAATCTCTCCAGGTGCACTAGAGTGTGTGCCAACACGGGGTGTCAAGGCGTGCCATTATCCATAGAGGCGGACACGTATTAACGTAAGGCGGAGACGGTATTTTGCGTCTGCCATTTGGTACATAAAATGGGGGCGCTTGGTACATAATTATCTTAAATGTTTACAAGCTAGTTATGAGCGACTGTGTGTGTGTGTGTGTGTATGTGAGAGAGAGAGAGAGAGAGAGAGAGAGAGAGAGAGAGAGAGAGAGAGAGAGAGAGAGAGAGAGAGAGAGAGAGAGAGAGAGAGAGTCTCTCTCTCTCGCCCAAAATTGCACAGTAGTGCATTTTTCATTTATTTATTGGGGTTATAAGTGCGACAGGTATAAACGGCTTGGAGACCAGGTATAGAGAGATAGCTCTCATTCCCTCGTAGTCACTGATACGTAAGCACTAATAGATAGGCGCACACTCACACACACACACACGCACACACACACGCACACACGAAATAAACGAGTTGAATTGACATTTTGTGCGAGATATACGAGAAAAGGCCTCAAACACTTATACTAAAACAAATAAGCAACTATAGAAAACATGATTGGTTTAATGGGAATTACGAGAACAAGAGACAAAACAATGGTACCAATATTTATTAAGAGACCAACCATACCAGTACTCCAAACACGAAAGAAACAACCACACGGCAGTGAGAAGATAGAAAGCACCTTTGGCTATATATATTTTTTTAATATATGACAGGTTAAGTACAAAATCAAATTTTAAATGTGTGAATGTCCCTTGAAAGTATAGTTACTCCTATAAAAAATATTCTGACTAGTTTTCTATTATGGGTGAAAAGAAAACCTCATTTTTATAGGGGTAACTTAATAATACGTCATTGCAGCTTGGTAATTACCTTTGAATTGAATTCCCCCCACAACAACATTGATGCCTCCCGCCACAACATTGATGCCTCCCGCCACAACATTGATGCCTCCCACCACAATATTGATGCCTCCCACCACAACATTGATGCCTCCCACCACAACATACTCACTGCTATAACTTATCACGCGCTTCGAACCACTGATTTCACAACATAAGCCATAAAATATATATTTTTGTCACGCATCATTACAGTACATCAATAATTCCCAGGTGAGCATCACTATATTGATGGGTCACTTATTGATGTAATATTTATGTAAGTATAATGCACTGGGCGACTATTGTGAGTCTTATGTCAAGTGTGGATAAGAGCTTCTTTAGAACAAACTTGGATTAAGACTTTACGTTTAACAAGGATACACTGCTTCCTTGCTATGCATCTTCAAGATGAATATCCCAGCTCTACCCTCCCTAGGAGTCCTAGCAGACTCCCTGCTGGGACTGCTGGGATTGCTGGGACTTCTGCCCTTCCATCCTTCCCCCCACTATTCCATTCTCCTCAACCCCCCCTCAGCAAACCCAGCACCCCAGCTCCTTAGCCCCCCAGCTCCTTAGCCCCCCAGCTCTTCAGCACCCACCTTCTCAGCACACCAGCTCTTCAGCACCCACCTTCTCAGCACCCCAGCTCCTCTCAGCACCCCAGCTCCTCAGCACCCCAGCTCCTCTCAGCACCCCAGCTCCTCAGCACCCCAGCTCCTCTCAGCACCCCAGCTCCTCAGCACCCCAGCTCTTCAGCACCCACCTTCTCAGCACCCCAGCTCCTCAGCCACCACCAATATAAATATTCTAACCCATTCCATGAAATCCACGAAAATGTGACTTACGAAGAGGCATTATAGATTTAGCGAAGGTATTCGTTCATTTCTCGGCAGGAGTTCCCTCCGCGGCCTTCACTGGCACCTCCAGGGGAAAGGAAGGCCCTCAGGTGCCAGCTGTATCAGGGTTAATGATGGTTGATGATCGTTACGAGGTAATCCAACTCCCCGAGGGAGGCCGGTGGGTCGGTACCGGCGCCGGGAGACGAACGAGGGGAGGTCCTGGAGGAGGCGTGGTGTAACAGGCAATAGCCAGCGTAACTAATGGTAACCAGAGGGTAATGGAACGGCTGTGAGGGGAGAAGATGAGGGGAAGCCGACGAATCATGAGGGGAAGGGGGTGTGTGACATCCAGCGACTGTCCCTTCGGTGGGGGGAAGGAAGGGGGGGGGGAGAAGGGGTTGTCCTGTGAGGGGAAGGAGGATGACTGATGTTATTGGTGGATGGTGGAGATGGGGGAGGGTGAAGATCCTTCGATGGAGAGGAAGGGGGAGATTCGGTAGGAATGGTGTGGGGAATGTCACGAGAGAACGGGAGGGGGTCAGGGGTAGGAATGAGGGGAATATAGGGGACGTGGGAGAGGGGGTTGAAGAAAAAGGAAAAAAAGGGGAAATGAAAATGCTCTTAAAAGTAGATAAGAGAAGAAGATAAAATGAGGTTGGAGAGGGGGAAGGGAAAGGAAGGGGGGAAGGGATCAAGAGACGGGGGGAGCTGAGAAGGGGGAGTGAGATGAGGGGGGGGGGATGGAGGGGGTAGACAGACGTGAGATAGGGCAGGAAAGGGGAGACACAAGAGTGGACTGTGAAAGGGGAAACAGGAGGCGTCAGAGCGATTGTCAAATGATATGATGTGTAGCCAGTGGTGGTGCCAGTGGTGGTGCCAGTGGTGGTGCCGGTGGTGGTGCCGGTGGTGGTGATAGTGGCACCGAGATCTTGGCCCCCTTCCTGGACAGCTCCCGTCAATAATGACGACGCCTCGCTGTTATTGGCACCTATGATGCAGTGTGTGTGTGCATCTCGGCTGGTTTTAACCATCCCAGTGCCACACACACGGTGCCATACAGTGCCACACCACACATATGGTGCCATCCAGCGCCACCTTCATAGTGTTCAATAGTGTTATATACCCCTTACGTGATATATAATCATATAAGTGCCATTATGTTTTTCTGGCTGTTATATAGAAGAGAAGGTGCTTAATATATAAGAAATGGATGACAGCTGTCAAGTACTGAAGACACTTTTCACATCTCCAAGACAGCCCATCTTGTGTGTACAAGTCCGGTTATTTCTCAGTCCCACAAAATCAGCTTTTTAGATATCTGATCTCCTTGTGATAACTGTTCCTATTTCCCTGTTATCTATTGGTGCCTCCGCTGCTGGCCAGCCCTAAATCTAATATATAATATTAGACTAATATATAAGTCTAAAATATAAACATAATGTGCTGTTTAAGGAAGCTATCATCAACTAATTCTAAGAGTTTTGTTAGTTCATTTTATTATATAAAAATTAAAGCCTGGTAATGCTAGTATTGTTACACCTAAGCTGTCCTAAATATTTCTGCCTAGATATAAATTGATATCATTATGCCGTATTTAAGTGGCGTGGATAAAATTAGATCACTTAATTGATCTAATTTATTCCTAATATTCCTGCTATTTATGCAATATATACATTTAGGGTGTAGTTATGTTTAATCTTGTCTTCCTCTTTGTTTTCAGTGCCGTCTTGAGAATATTTTGTTAACAAAATGTCTTAAGTTTCATTTCTAATATTTCACCTTCAACTTGCCAGCTGGAGTATAGTGTGTACAACTGTCTCCCTCCCTCGCTGTACAACCCCAGACCTCTCTCATCTACCCGTGTAAGCCCTGGATAATGTCCCCTCTACTGCATTAGCTATGGCTGCCACCCGTGCCCTAGATAGCTGCCCCCCCTGCCCTAGATAGCTGCCACCCCTGCATCTTCCTTACGTG